TTCACACAATCTTGGAGCTGGGTCAGAAGATCGGCCATCGCGCATGACTCCTCCTTCTGACACTGATCGTCTAGAATTTCAGAGATACTAGAAAGATAGCTTCAATGGTGCGAAAGAACTGAAGATAAAATCAAAAGAGCGAACAAAATGCAAAATTGGCCAAAGGTGTACCTGAGATATCGCAAGAAAAGCCCCAAATGAAAAGCACTTCCAAATTCTGAAGCACCCTACCACAGAAAACCCGAAATCAAACTAAATCATGATTGAATATTATTCACACAGTAGGTTTTGTCTAAATTAGCAACTGGAAAAATATTTCCAGTCAGAAAAGCCCAAACTCTCAACTGACTGAATAAAATAATCGAATTTAAGTTTTAACTAGAAAACTTGAAAAGACGTATCACAAGTGGAAACATTAAAATTAAGAAAAGGTAAAATGAAAAAATACGTATAACAAGAGACTTGCTTGATATATCAGCCTAGTTAAAGCAACCAAAAATTGAGAGTGCAGCAGTAGTACAGGAACAGCAGTATTAGACCACGAAGAACTCATGACAAAAAATGGATGTTGAAAAATTAGAAAATACGGATGAAGACAAACATTTATGGATTCAAACAAACTAAGACAAGTAAGCATTGGCATTATTCAGGGTAAAGCAATGCGCACTGTATATATAACAACTGTTAAATATTTACAAACAACTGAAAGACGGTAAAACTGTGCAACCCGCGCAAAGCTTTGTATTTGATGAATTACAGTAAGTTTTGTTTCAGTTTTACTTAAAAATCACGTATTATTACGTCGTACATAAAATTCGCATCACATTGTACAGCGATTAGTAAAGGGTCTCAGATTGCACTTCGTGTTTTATCATTTTCAAAACAATTTTACGTAAATCGAAGAAACTGCTTCTGATGATAAAGTAGCAAATAAGTGCGTTGTTGCACATGCTCATGACATCAGGCTGTGTGTTATTCGAAGAAAAGAAACGATCTGTGTGTATAGTGGATTGTTCTTTTCTTACATGTTGTCACGAAACTGTCTAACCAAATAAGTGAGCGCAAAAATTTCAGCTCCGAGGGGACGAGAGGGACTTCTTTAGATTTAGCCATCTTAATTTGGAACCTTAAGTTTGACCATCTTTTTCACTGTATGGAAATTAAATTGCATAGAAATTTAACAGTAACCCTATGTATAAGTAGTATGCCACATTTCACATCATTGTCCCTAAAAAATAGAATGAATACTGCAAAATTAGACTATGCCCACTAATTGCATCAGTGATATTTTCGCGCTATAATTTTCAAACCAGCAATTTGCCAATCTGCCATGATCAGACATCAGGTTTGTCTGCAGTCAATCTTACCATTTTTTTTTGAATAAATAGAATAATGCTGGCAGAAATGGTTATCAATTAATGACGGATAAAATGATAGTGCTGGTCAAATACCCTCTTGTCGTGAAATTCTATATGACGCTTTTATTGTATTTTTTGAGTCGCTCTGTTTCTATAGATCCTTAAACGAATTTTTGTTCCATGGTAGCATTAAGCATCGCTTCGTGAATTGCTCGATTTTAAGAAATGTTACTTGCTAGGAGTAAGTGAAAGTTAAGCCCGTTTTTTAAAGAAGGAAGGTACAAACTTGTTTGGGAGCATCATAATTTCCTATTTGCACAAATTCATTGTTTAGATTACAAATGTTTCCCATCGTTCATTAAAGGAACTGGTTACAGTGAACAAATTTAATGGTTATGATACATGTTGGGCCCTTGTATGCAAATGCCTCCAATAAGGAAATTCGAATCAACTGTTTTTTTCCGGCAGAAGTCGGATGGCACAAATTAACCTGGTGCAAATAAATTGAACGATTTTGCTCTTGACTATGACATTCTTTCGCCGAAGGTCAGACTTCGGCAGAATCGAGAAGGTTGGGCGCACTCTCCGACGCATCTGCCTCCCTGACTCGAAAGGAGGCGTACTCTTGGAAGATTAAGATAAAGTTTATGATACACCTGCAGAATTAATTTCTCTCCTATGCTTAAATCTTGCCTCTTGCAGACAGTTTCAATAATAATAAATATAAATTTCAGTTGCTGTCAAAAATGAAAATCCAGATTCCTTCCAGATCAATTCATTCTATACGTTACAGAATGAGACATTACTATCAGCCGCGTTTATGTCAAATTCGTCCATCTTCTTTTGCATGATGGAGACTCTTGTTTACACCTGAAATTTCGACGATTTGTAACGGATTGCTTACTGATAGTGAAGCTTTGAGTATCAGCTGTTTTTCATCCTTGATTTTTATGCTCGTGTAATTTTTCTAACTTTATTGTAAAGTATAACTTTGAATTCATGCGGTGTTTTATGAAACTTGAAAACTGCTCATCAAATTGCTTGAATAATCGTTATAATCTTTGCGTGACATCACCGAGCAGGAGGTTTTGCCTCAGTATGATGTCACCGCGTCGTGCGGCCGGTTCATTTTCTGCTCCGAGTGTACACGCATCGAGAGCCCGCTCGCGCTTGGGATAGCACTTAGGTTATAGCCTAGGATCCGGAACTTGCTGTAATTATTTTGTCGTACTTTCCATGTTCCTCTCTGCTGCAGTCAAAGATATGCTCGTGTTGTAGCTTCTTCTGGACAGCAGAGATGGTGGAACTGAGCCGTCTTTGTGAGGGTACGCGACCTACGAATAGCCTCATAAATCGGTTGTGCAGTTCCGCCTGCGTTCTTGAGGTTTGCGCGAAGGTTGGACTCCGGACGTCAGAGTTTAAGGGACAGATTTGCCGGT